CACCTCCTCCCAGGGTGAAACTGCAAACTAAGTTCTGTGGCACATGTTAGAAAGATTTTTCATGAGCAAGTTCTGATTTTAGATGGTTGAGAGTATGAATAAGAACCAACCAATATGCTAATAATAAGTGCTCTTCTCTATGCTTTTTAACATAGTCCCAAGGGACTTGTACTTGGCCACACTGTCTCCTTCACAGGGGAAGTAGCCTGACAATGACCACCCTAGGCTTTCTTAAAAATTGTCTAGAATTTAAGTACCCCAGGAATTCAAACTGGCTTTTGCTGTAACCGAACTGAGCTGATGATATCATTTTTGCTGAGCTTATGTTTAAGGTCATTTTTACACACCATATGGCACTGGTTCTCAAAGTGGGTCCCCTAACTACCCCAGAGCTTGCAGATTCCTGCACTGCATCCCAGACCTGTCCGGATCAGACAGTCTGGGTGTAGGGCACAACAGTCTGTTTTAAGAAGCTCTCTGGGGGGTGCTGGGGCAACTCCAGTCTGAGAACCACAGTCTTACAGCGGGCAGTTTGGGAGAGGGGAATGACTGTAGCCGAGTCTGAGGTAGTGATGGACAATGCAACTCACACAACTCTACTCTCTGGATGTGCACAGATGGAGAAAATGGAGATGGGAAAATACAAAGGTCATTGGTGGAAGGAGTCACTTCCTACCAATCTACATGATCATGGAGTTACCAAAAGGAACCCCAGGCCTCCAAACCTAAAGCACATCCTGCCTTCAATATGTCTTTGTCATTTGGGAAATGGATTTAACCCCTCCCAGCCATCAGTCTCTCATCTATAAAGAGGGCTGGGGTATGGATAACAGGAAATGTTAGCTAATTATTATTGAGCCCTTATAAAGTCCATTAACTCTAGTACTGAATTTAATCCATGCAACAACTCTATGACATTTTTAATATTATTGGTATCCTCACTTGATGGGTGAAAACACTACGGCACAGAGAGGTTAGGTAACTTGCCCAAGGTCACGCAGCCAGCCCCACTCTCCACTACCCACTGCACTTTAGAAATTGCCAACGTCAGTACCAAGGATGGTAGGAGATTAAGTCTGTGCAGAGAAAGGCAGGCCAAGGATCACAGGAGCCAAGCAGGCTAGGCGTTCTGGCTCTTGGTTGCCAGCCTGCCCCTGGTGGCTGAGGGGCCACCAGGCTGACAGAGCCAGCACACTGTCAGATCTACTATCCAGGACAGAGAAAGGAACACAGAAAATAGCTCAGAGGCCAAAGGAGGAAATCTGTTCCTGACACATGCTGACAGGGCTCATTATCCAGACATCTTGTTTTCGTAAAATGGCAGTGACACTGTTTGCTTTACAAAGGCTGGCTACTGGTCGTAATGAGGCCACGAGCCAGGGATGCTGGGGGAACAATGAGAGAAGGGCACTCCCCACTGAGGGAGGTGCTTGAGACAGAACTTTTCAGGTGTGGTGGGGGAAGGTAGGGACCAAGCTCTGCAGACATGACTCTCTCTTCCTTCCCTCTCTGTGCTGCCGCTAGAATTATCTCCTTCCATTGCAAACCAAACACAGCGCTCCCAGCCTCAAGAACCAGTAATGGCTCCCTGTTATCTCCAGAGATCTCAACCATAACCTAGGCTCACAGCCACACAGACTGCCCCTCTGACCTCCCATCCCTCCATTTCCTTTTGTGGGTTGTGGGTGCCTTCCCCTGCTCCCCATCCTCTTCCACGCGCATTTATATCTCTTTCCCTTTCCGGGCTTCCATGTTAAGCAACAGCTGGAAATCTGGAGTTGGAAGCCGCACTGATATACCACAGTGAGACCCAACTAAGGTGGTGGGTGGATTGACACAAAGCCCCTTCTTCGTGGAAGGAAAGAGGCTGGAAATTTTGCCCCATGAAATTTAGAAAGCCAGGCAGACAGAAAACTCACTTGGTACTCACACAGTGCTTGCCAAATAGTTTACATGTCCCGGCTGTGCTGAAGGGATGGTGAAAATAAGTGAATGATGATTCATCACTTGTTTTTGGTTTAGAACCTCTGATGAGTTCCATGGAAGCTGGGACTCAGTCATGTTCAGAGGAACAGGGTTTTCATTGTGGTGAAGGACTCGCATTGTTCATTCTTGTGGGCATACCTGAAACAAGTCCAGCACATTCTAAGGAACACTGTCAAGCTGTCCGGATCAATTAGCCAAACATATATTTTATGTAGACATTCATTCAACAGCTACTGTGCTTAGGGGCCCCTGTCAGTACATGGGCATTCTTTGTGGTTTGGTTTTCTTTCCCTATTTTTCATCATCATAACTTTTATTTTTTCTTCATACACAAGAATATATATTAAGAATGTAATTAAAGTATATTCCTTAAGAATGCCTAGTGTCTAGGCTCTTAATTTATGCCTACTCATGTTTGTACGGCAGAATTTCTGGTTTGGCTGACACATAATTGGTGCTTAGTAATCTTAGAGTTCTCATCTAAAGCCAGGGTCTGCAAACATTTTCCATGGAGGCCAAGCGGTAAATATTTTAGGTGTTGTAGGGCAAGAGCCAAAACTGATGGTATCATGTAGGTACTTTATGTAACAAGAGGGAAAACGAAATTTCCACAAAGTTTTCCATTTCTGAAATTCAAAATCTAATAATATAATTAAGCACAGGTTTTACCAATACTGGTAATATTGGTCAGCTCAGACCGCCACAGAACACCACAGACTGGATGGCTTAAAAAAGGGAAATGTATTATCTTATAATTCTGGAGGCTGTAAGTCCAAGATCAAAGTGCTGCTGTGGTGGGCTTCTGATGAAGCCCCTCTTTCTGGCTTGTACATAGCTGCCTTCTCACTGTGTCTTCACAGGACCTTTCCTCTATGCACACTCAGGGTGAAAGAGAGGTTGATTGGGCCCTAGTCTTGTAAGGATGCCGGTCCTATCTGACAAGGGCCCCGTCCTTATGACCCCATTTAACCTTAATTACCTGTTTAAGGGCCTTGTAGCCAAATACAGTCACATCGATAGTTAGGACTTTAACATGAATTGGTGGGGGGCACACAACTCAGTCCCTAATGCAGGTCTACTAATGAGAAAAAGGAAAAACATTTCACTGGACTGGAGCTTAAACGTAAAATCCATTCTTAGCTGGTGGGTCTTACGAGTACAGGTAACATTGGGGTTTGGCATGGCTGCAGTTTACAGATACCTGGACACCATATAGTAGAAAGAACCTTGGCTTTGGAATCAGGCTTGGCCCATGTTCACAGCCCAGCTCTGCCTCCTATCAGCTGTACATTAATGAACAACCACTGAATCTCTCTGAAACTCATTTTTGCCAGGTCTGGAGGGAAATAATGATTTCCTTAAAAGGGAGCCAAATCTAGAAGGGGAAGTGTCTCCTCAGGGCTTCTGTAAGGAGTGCAAAGTCCTGAGCATAATGCTGGATGTAGACCTGTCTTTAGAATTATAGTCATCATCATCACCACCACCACCACCACCACCATCATCATCATCATCATTATCATCATCATCACCATTGGAATTTTGAGAAGCTGGAAATAACCCCAAAATGACTCAAAAGATTTGATGGATTACATACATACTCTGGGAAGTATGTCTGGAGAATGACAATTAACCTCTGTGGTTTTCCTCCCAATGTAATCATGACAATAACATCAGATAAATCCCAGTTGAAGTACACCTGAGAGTACTCCTCCAAACTGTCAAAATCATCAAAAACAAAGGAAGTCTGAGAAGTCACAGCCAAGAGGAGCCTAAGGAGACATAAGGACTAAATATGGTGTAGGATCAGAATAGAAAAAGGACATTAGGAAAATCTAAGAACATCTGAATAAAGTTGGGACTTCAGTTAATAATAGCATATCAATATTGGTTAATTGTGGCAAGTATATCACATTAATCTAAGATGTTAAGAACGGAGGAAATTAGGTGTGGGGTAAATGAGAACTCTCTGTACTATCTTCATAAATTTTCTGTAAATCTAGAACTGTTCTAAAAATGTAAAGTTCATTGAAAGATAATTATACAGGGCACCTGGGTAGCTCAGTCAGTTAACCATCCCACTTCAGCTCAGGTCATGATTTCATGGTTCATGGGATTGAGCCCCCTGTTGGGCTCTGTGCTGACAGCTTGGAGCCTGGTTGGGATTCTATCTCTCCTTCTCTCTCTGCCCTCCCGCACTGGGTCTCTCAAAAAATAAACATTTAAAAAACTAAAATACAAAATAAATACACATGGGTAAGAGATCCATTCAAAGTGCAAAGTGGTCCAGTGGGTTTTAATGGAACCAGGATGAAAGGTTAAGTGATATGGTTCAGATTCCACATTGACTTTTGAGAAACTACCGCTTGTTTCCCAAGCACCCCTGGAGTTATTTTAATTACAAATATTTATATTAACATGTTGGTTTATTATTTTTAAATCAATCAACAAATAGTTACTCAAGTTATTCAGTTTTAATTTTTCTTCTAGTAAATCTCAACAGCTATTACCCATATGAACAAAAATTCTTTGAGGTTCTTAATAATTTGTAAGAATATAGAGGGTCCTGAGGATAAAAAGTTTGGAACTCACTGAGCTAAACAACTATCTTCTTTAGTCCCCACAGCAACCTATGAGGTAGGTTTGAGGATGAGAAAACTGAGGAACAGAGAGGTAACTTGCTGGAGAGTCACCAGGAAGTAAAAAGACAGGCAAAGGGGCACCTGGGTGGCTCAGTTGGTTAAGTGTCCGACTTGAGCTCTGGTTGTGATCTCGTGGTTTGTGGGTTCGAGCCCTGCATCAGGCTCTGTGCTGACCACTCAGAGCCTAGAGCTTGCTTCGGATTCTGTGTCTCCCTCTCTCTGCCCCTTCCCTGTCTGCTCGCTCTCTCTTTCTCTCTCAAAAGTAAACATTAAAAACATTAAAAAAAAAAAAAAAAAAGACAAGCCGAAGCTCGAACCCATGTCACTATGCTCTCCTGACAATCTTGTATCCCTGCTGTCTCCCTCCTCTTCTAGGTCTGTGAGCTCTGCAAGGGAGTGGCCCCTGCGGACAGCCCTGTGGTCTACTCAGACAGGGCAGGCTACAGCAAGCAGTGGCACCCCACCTGCTTTGTGTGTGTCAAGTGCTCCGAGCCACTGGTGGACCTCATCTACTTCTGGAAGGACGGTGCCCCCTGGTGTGGCCGCCATTACTGCGAGAGCGTGCGGCCCCGGTGCTCTGGCTGCGATGAGGTGAGAAGAGCTGTTCTGCTCTTTCTGAATTTTTTCTGAGCCTCAGGGATTCCTCAACATATATATACCTATTCCAAAGTGTGTAGGGTGCCTGGGTGGCTCAGTCAGTTAAGCACCTAACTCTTGGTTTCAGCTCAGATCATGATCTCACGGTTTGTGGTTTTGAGCCCCATGCTGGGCTCTGCACTGACAGTGCAGAATCTGCTTGGGATTCTTTATCTCCCTCTCTCTCCCCCTCCCCCACTTGCATGCATGGACACTCTCTTTGTCTCAAAATAAATAAATGAACTTAAAAAAAAGTGTCATTTTATTCAAAGCCCAAGTGACTCTGTGTGACCTTGCTGGTGAAGCCTGGCCATAGGCCACTTAGCTATTGTTGGGCTGCCTTCACTGGGATATGCAATCCCATCGTAGAAAAAAGCTGGGCTTTGGATGTGCGTCAGAGTATTGCAGCTGCTAGATAAGTATAACCTGACGATAGCAGAGAATTTTTTTTTCCATCTAAGAAGACAAGATATAATTATGACCTGTGCCAGATATTGTACTCACTGCCTGAGATTTATGTCAGATTCCCCCACTGATGCATTTGAAGGTCAAGACAAGAATGGGGGAGGGGGACCCACATTCTACACCTTGTCCTCAACACCCATCTCTAAGAGGGACAGAACCTGACCTGTGCCTGTCCTCTGCTCCCCTCCCCAGATCATATTCTCGGAGGACTACCAGCGTGTGGAAGACCTGGCCTGGCACCGAAAGCACTTTGTCTGTGAGGGCTGTGAGCAGCAGCTGAGCGGCCGGGCGTACATCATCACCAAGGGCCAGCTTCTGTGCCCAACTTGTAGCAAGTCCAAACGGTCCTGAAGGGCTGCCCGTCCACAGCCAGAATCCACAGGATCCCATCAAGGAGGAGAGCCATGTGTGCTCACATCATCCTAAGGGTCTGATGTGACAGCCAGCAAGCAATGAAAACAGTGATTTTTTCAGTGGGAATATATATATATATATACACACACACACATATTCTAGGTTGGGTGGTAGATCCTTGAGGGTCAGTAGTTTCAAAGCCAGCATGTTCTGAGAGGTCTTAGATGGGGTTATTTTGTTGTTGTTGTTGTTGTTTCTCACCTACCAACTACAGGCACAACTGGCATCCTGCAAGGGGATCTCTAGGAGCTTCCCAAAATGCAGTTCGGAGTGATCAGATCATGTAGCTGTAGGATGTGCGTGCTTTCTCATGAACATGGGGGCTCCTCCAGGAGCTGGCTGATATTCCAACAATCATTTGTGGCCTTCTTTTCAAATGGAATTTGAGTTTTAAATAAAAAACATTTTTGGCATGATGATCTTATCAATAAAAGTCTTACGAAGTCCATCTTTGCCCTCCTCTATTTATTTACACCAGTGGTGATTTCACGGCATCCATTTAGCCCCTTGATGCTGAGTGCTGGTCGTGGCAGAAGGCGCGGAAGTGCTGGTGTGCTTCCTCATCAACTGTGTCTCGTCAGATTTCTTTGTGAGCCTAGGTTCTCAAGGCAGAACCCCTGTACCCCAGTTCCAGGAACCCCCAGGTCAGTGATGGAATTGCCGTGGTTCATGGTACATCAAAAAGCAGTCTCCAGGAGCTGATCAGCTGCCCTCACAGGTAATGAGTGAAATCCTCAGAGGAAGACCAGGTGGAGTGTTGGGAGCAGCCCCACAGGGCCACCTGAGCTCAGCCAATGGGTGCCCCATGGGACATGGTGACCAGTGTGGGCAGTCTTGAAGAAATACAGGATGTTTATGAGAAATCTGTCTGCTTCTACACATTGCCAGCTCAACAGGGAATGAGCCAAATAGAATAGGTCTTTGGGCCAGATTTTTTCTCTTTTTATGGCCTCTCTGAGCATTTGCAGCTCCCAGATTAGTTTCCTTTACACAATATCTAAGAAAAGGAATCTCTTTTACTACTGGGGAAACCAAGACAAAAAACGACATGAGTCTGAAGAGCTCACAGCCTGGTCACCCATGGCTTTCCTCCTTTCTCAAATTTCCCATCTGTTGCCAAGTTTCTTTCATTTCTCCACCCAAATTTCACTCTGCTTATCTCTTACCTACAATACCCTGACCTTGCAAGTTTGACCAAAGCTATTGCAATTGCCTCCGGAGGTGGTTTTCTGTTTCCAGCTCTGCTCTCCAGCCACCTTCCCTGTCGTGTCTGTCTCCCCAGAGAGAAGCTTTGGGTGTGTTTTCTTCCTCATCCGCCTTGCCTGGCTCCCTGGTGTCTCCAAGTTAAGAACCAAGTCCTCACCCTGACATTTGAATCCTTCCAAAACTTGGCTTCATTGTCTTTTTGGCCTTGGAACCCTTCATTTCTCTTGATTTTCATTTCCCTGTTTCTCTTAGACATTCACCTACTGCCTTTGATCAAGTTCGCTTCTGTGCTTCTCCCAGTTTTGTGCTGGTTACTTGAAAACCAACGCCATCTGTTGAAATTCTATTGGTCCTATAAGGTGCTACTCAAGCATAACGTGCTTCTCAATCCCTTCCCACTGGAAGGCACCATTGGAAAATTCACTCTTTCATTCACTCACTCATTCATTCATTCTGCAAATATCCACTGGGCATTACAGAGTACCATTATTCAAGCTGAGTATAGGAGATAGAGTGTTCACAGAAAGAACAATACCCCCGCCTCCTGGATTTTATAATCTGTGGGGGATATGACCTTAGGCAAATAGTCCCACAAGTCAATGTAAAATTATAAAAAGGGGAGGAACATGTCTCTATAAAGAATATAAAAGAGTTTGGACCTAGTCAGGAGAGGTGCTCCTGGAAAAGTGACACTTGAACTGAGATCTAAAGGGTAAGTAAATTCTGAGCAGCCAAAGAGGAAAAGGAAGATGGTTAAGGATAAATACATGGATGGCATGTTCAAAGTTCCTATGGCTGAAGTAGCATCAGTTTATTCAATATCTATATACTAGTGTTGGAGATACAGTGGTGACCATGGCCCATGAGTGGGACTGAAAGAAGACTAGTGTGGTGCATACAGAGATGTGAGACATAAGAGGTGCACCAATTTTGTGGGCAACAGTAAAGACCCGCCTCTATCCTAAGAGCAATGGGGAACCTTCGAAGAGTTTTAAGCAAGGGTAGTGATGATTGGATAGAGAGATTATTGGATACATGTTCTCTCCTTTGTTGAAACCCCAGCATGATGCCTGACTGACTTTGTCCTAATTTCTTTGTTCACATCATTGTGGGCAGGAGTGATGTCACCCAATAGACCCCACCAGATACCACCCAGAGCATGCTCTTGCCTTCCCCATGTCTACTAAAGACACCTCATGCGTGGCATTGGAACACCTGAATCCTCTCTGACACTCCTTTCCTGTCAGATGGGTCACTGTCATGGCTTTCCCTCCATCCCCAAAGCCATATTTCTCCTTGAATGACTGCAGCCCAGACTGGCAATAGTCTCCTAGTGAGTCTCCCTACTGGAACTCACCCTCTCCACACACTGCCCACATGAACTGCCCAGAAACACAGGCCTCTTTTAAAACAATCAAGAGGCTCTCTGTTGCATACCTAGAAGAAAATCAAAACTTAGCCTTACAAGCAAGCTTCTTATTTTCCCAGCCCCAAAGTACCTTGGCTTCCTGCTCCCCGTTCAGAGGCCAGGTGAATAGCTTGCAGGTCCTTGCTTCTTGCTTTCCCTACCTCTGTGCCATCGCTCAGGCTATTCCCTCTTCTGGGAGTTCCCCACACTGTGCTTAATCGCTGCCTGTTCCATGGGACCACCAGAGGTGGTAGGCATTCTGTAGCAGAACTGGAAGGAGGTAGGCTTTAAAAGGCTACAAAGTTAACTCCCCATTCAGCAAAAAGGAGCCACTGTTCCCATCACTGCGACTCTAGAAGCCTTCCCTGGCCTCACCCTCCCCTCTGGGATGTTTTAGGTTCATCTGTGTGCCCTGAGTATCTAGGCTTTCTGCAATCATTGATGCTATTGTGCTATAATTACTAGTTCCTGAAAGGCTTCCTCTATGAACTTCTTCCACTCTCTTTGGTTCTCCAATCCTTATTACAGCACCTAGCAACTAAATGCAAGGACAAACATCCTCAGGCTCTTGGAGGATTCACTGTTGCCAATGGCTCTGGGCTCCAAAAAGAAAAAGCATGTGACTCATTCCTGGCCAGTGGGGATTCTCCACTGGGAAGCTGCTTAGAAAAGTTTTCTTCCTTAATGGAAAGGGACGCTCTGGAAGAAAAGGCCCTGTATTTTTTTTCTTTTGATATAATTTCAAAGTTACAAAAAAAGTTTCAAGAAGAGAACAAAGAATTTTTTTTCCCTTGAACCATGTGAGGGTGTGGCTGACACAATGCTCCATCACCCCTGAGTATTCTAGTGTCTAATTCTCATGAACAGAAAGATACCCCTACCATAAAACAACCATCAAAATCAGAAATGAACACTCTACCATCTGATCCTCAGATACAAGTTTCACTGATTTTACCAATAATATCTTTTACTACAAAAAGGTCCAGTCCCGGATTATGCATTCCAATTTAGTTATCTTGTCTCTTTAGTGCTCCGTAATTTGGAAGTGTTTCTTGTTCTTTCTTTGACATTTATGACCTTGACATCTAAGAAGGCTGCTTACTGAGTAGAAGGTCCATCAAACTGGTTTTGTCTGATATTCTCTCATAATCAGATTCAGGCTATGCATTTTTGGTGGGAATGCCATGAAAGCAATGTTTTCATTGTGCCCTATCGGACAATACAAGATTTTTATTTATTCTATTAGGTGTTGCTGTTAATTTTCAACACTTGATTAAGCTAGATTTTTCCTTTGTAACATTACTCTTTTCCCCTTTGTGTTACATGAGTATCTTGTGGGAAGATGTGGGCCTAACTTGGAGATGCCGTGGGTTCAGTTCCAGACCACTCAATAAAGTGAATATCACAAATAAAGTGAGGTAAAGGAATTTTTTTGGTTTCCCAGTGCATGTAAAAATTATGTTTAGGGTTGCCTGAGTGGCTCAGTCAGTTAAGTGTCTAACTTCGGCTCAGGTCATGATCTCATGGTTTGTGGGTTTGAGCCCCGCATTGGGCTCTGTGCTGACAGCTCAGAGCCTGGAGCCTGCTTCGGATTCTGTGTGTCTCTCTCTCTCTGCCCCTCCTCACTTGCACTCACTCTCTCAGTCTCTTTCTCAAAAATAAATAAACATTAAAAAATTTTTTTAAATTATGTTTATACTCTACTGTAGTCTAGTAAGCATGCAATAGCAGTATGTCTAAAAACCAATGTACATAACTTAATTGAAAACACTTCATTGCTAAAAAAAAAAATGGTAACTATCATCTGAGCTTTCAGGGAGTGACAATCATTGATCACAGATCACCATAACAAATATAATAATAATGAAAATTTTTGATATATTAAGGAAATTACCAAAAGGTGACCCAGAGGCATGAAGTGAACAAATGCAATTTGAGAAATGGCACCAGTGGATTTGCTCAATAGAGGATTGCCACAAACCTTCAATCTGTAAAAAAATTCATAATATCTGTGAAATGCAATAAAGCAAAGTGTGATGAAATGAGATATGCCTGTATTTGATACTATGTTAATATTCTGTTCCTCATCAAAATGCCACCCACTGGCTATGAGTATCTATTGATGTTTCTTGACTGAATTAATTATTATTATTATGATAGCTGGCAAATGTTGATTTTTGTAATTCAGGCAGCCCGTCAATGTTTAGCATTCTACTATAAGGAAAAACTCTCTTCTATTTATTTATTCCTTTACTTGTATCAGTTTGGAGTTAATAGATTTCTGTTTTATTAAATCCTTGTAATCTAACACTATCATTATTCATTTTGATGCTCAATCATTTATAATCTAGTACCATCATTATTTATTTGGATGTTCAAATTGTCCAAAATTTGGCCAAAGGAATTTCCTTCAAACTGGCTATGCCCTTTTGACATATCACCATCATTTTCCAAACACAGCTATAATGTTCTGGTACAATCAGGAGTTCTCAGCTTGTATTTTCTTCACCACAGCTTCGGAATCAGCAGTTTCTCAAGGAGTTCTCTCTTCTTAAGAGGGGTGCTGCTAGCTTGGAACTCCTGGTGCCATCTTAGAACCTTGAGGAGACCGTGAACCAAGCCAGTATGCCGAGGATGATGGACCTGAGAGTCAAACAGAGCCTAGGGACTTGGTTATGTCATCAAGCTGGTGAACTCACCTCTGGGTTTCTTGTTTTATGAGACAATACATTTCCTTGTTCTTTATGCAGGGTGAGATATTTCCTCCATATGTGACATATTTCCTCATCATACAGTTTTTCATGAATGGGGTCTTGTTGATTGGAGCCAAAACT